TCCTGTTTGGGCTAAATTTAGTTTTAAGCGTTAGCAGCACAATATTTTGATGTAGCCTGGATTACATATTACCTACAAGACAAATTTTACATTATTGTATGGGTATCTTTTTCCCATGGATCTTTGAGCATCCATTCTTGTACCAATTAGATGGTTTGGCTTAGCAATGGTCTGGCAGATTTGGCATCATTTGTCTAGAGCCAGTTTTGCTATCTCGATCTTATTGTTTCTTCAACACAATTTTTGACACGTTAGCACATAACTTCTTACCAAATGGGAAGGTGTCAATGCATTTTTGGCTCATCAACACGTAATGCTTTGTCATCTTTCCATTTGCTAAAAGGGGGTGATGTCCCAATGTCTGAAAAATGTACAGGGAGAGTAAAAAAGAAAGCAAGTTGAAACAACAAATTTCAACTCCACTTGCCAAAGCTTTTAACACTTTTAACTTTTTTGGTCTAATTTTTTTAGGGCTCGTTTGTCGTAATTTTTATTTTTGCTTTTACTTTTGTTTCTTATAGAAGAGTTGTTCGAGAAAATTATCTTAATTTTTATTTGAAAACTAATTTTTAAAAGCACTTCATATTCCTGAAGTGTTTTTAGAAGAAGCCATGAAATGTTTTTAGAGGAATTCACATTGAACAAATTTTCTCTAAAAGCTCTTTTAACTGTCGCAAGCACTTTTATAAAAGTAGTCAAATGGATCCACAAGAAGCATTTGAATTTCAAAAGCTCATTTTGATTTTTCAAAAGCCATGTCAATTGGCCTTTAGTCTTTTGAATTGGACCTTGGACTAAAACTTGTAAAGTCACATTCCTTTAAATGGCAACTTTAGGCTTAGTGTTTTGGTGCGATTAGACCTTATACGTGGAGCAATATTAGACGATGGATTTATGGTTTGTAGTGGCATGTAAAAGGCACCTTTTGGCCTTATTACACAATTTGTATGTGTGAGCCTTTGAGGGTTTTCATCTCGAGTTTTCCTCTCTGTCTTGCAATCTTTGGTTGGGTTATGTGATGTTGTATTTTGGAGAGTTTGATGTAAGGTTTAGTACGGTAAATCATCTTTGTGAGGCGAGAGAAAACATTCTTCAAACATTGTACGAGCTACTCTTAGCTGATTTTAGTTATTCGAAGCAATATCTACTTATAACTATTCAACGGGTGAGTATCATTTAGATAATGAAAATTTCGGACTTGTCAGTGGGTGAAAATTCTTGGTGTTGTTATTTTTCAGTTTTCTGTGATTTTGTTTCTGCAAATACTTTTGATCCTTGACGTTTTTGGGCAAACACGTTTTGGGACTAACACTTTGGTTGCCCTATTAGGTTATATCTATGTTCTGTCGTTTGGGTTTTGGTTTCCAAACTCTCTTCTCCTCTCTCTTCATGTTCTTCTTTCAAACCTCTGGTTGGAAGTTGATTCTTCTGATTCTTTTTGTGAAATTTGTATACTAAGTATGTTATGAGAGAAATTATTGTTGAATGATCCTTGTGACTTCTTTTAATCAATAAAGGAGTGCTTTAGGGTCCGAGTTAGGTTTGTATGGCCAAACAGACAGGTATAATTTTGATTCCGAGCCTCTATTGTTATTCACTTCACTTTGATGCCTTTCGAAGTGTATTTTGGAATTGTGTAAAGGAAACTTGTTTTATCTTAACAGTGTGCTGTTATTTTGAATTTGTTGTAAAATTTAGTTCGATAGTTTGTATAACACTATGAAATCGTCATCTTCTCAATATAATATTTATCTCTTTTGGGGGGCCATGGAATTGAGGATGAGCTGCCCATATATACCTTAAGAATTTTAGAACTGAGGTACAAGAAAAAATCTCCTTGTGCAACTAGTTTGTTTGATTATTTAACAGGTTAAGACCAAGTATGAGACCACGACCTCTCTAATTCGTGACTCTAGAACTTGTAGGAGTCCATTCTTCTAATAAGTGGCAAGGTATGCGGATAAGTTCGAGATTCAAAACATCTACTCGAACAAAAGATTTATAGAAAGTTTTAATTCAGTTTCTGGAGGCATTGGATCCTGGGACCATTACTAGTTTTATCAACAATTGTAAGGGTAAGTGTTAAGTTTTTAGTGTTGGCAATTTTGTGGATAAAGGACTAATTTGTAACGTGATGTAAAAATCAAGGACTTAGGATGCAATTTGTATAATTTAGGTAAGTTAGGGTTTGAGTTCTTGAAGGAGTTCAAGATGTCCAAGAAGATCGTATATGTATTTCCCTTACGTTAATCTTCACTAAAGAGTATCAAAAAGTCGCACAAGTTATGTTCCAAATTCTCAGTCGTCAATTACAATGCATTTTTCACATAGAAACCATTGGAATTTGGATTTGGATACTTCTAGAAGAATTGTAGCCCTTTGAGTTATCTTTCCAACAAAATTTGACTCATCACAATTAGATATCGACAGAGAAAGTTATGATAAAAATACTTACGACCCCTTAACCCTCCCTCGACATTAGCTAGAGGCTCGCTCGAGCGACCAATGCAGTAACTTTTAGCACGAGTTTCACCGACAGCTCGCTCGAGTAGCCTACCTGTGCGGTCAACCCTGATTCGGAGGGTTTTACATGGCCCATACTCCTCAAACACCTCCAACTATAAATACAAAGGCTTTGCAAGACTTTTGTAAGGTTGCTACATTGTGCCTCTCTTGCATATCATATTCTCTACATCTTTGAGAGATCTAAGAAGCTATTCTTTGATTGATTCGTCCATATTCATTATTGAGATCCAGCAACCCGATTTTGGAAAACATCAAAGGTTCCATAATCCAAAACACCTGGTGTCCTTAATCTTTTAAGGAACTGACTCTTTCATTGAGATTTGGAAAATGTGGACTACAAGCGCAGGAAGATAAACAGGACTAGGTGATTCCTGGGTATCCACTTGGAAGAGACGTGTACAGAAGAATGTGAGACTGCTACAACATATCTTGG